ACATTTTAAAAGTAACCTTCCCAACACTGCCTAAACAGTGCATAAGCACTTTCTCCACAGGTGTGTGAATATTAACCTTGAAGGCCGACAGTGGCGCCCGTACAGTTTATGATACTAGCCACACTCTGTAAACAACAGTCTCTGTGCCATTTCATCCATTGGAAAGAGCCAGTGTTGGGATTGCTATTCAAAGAAAGTAATGTATTACACATTACTTGTTACTTAAAACAAACAAAAACAACAAAAAGTAATGCCCTATACTACTTATTTACTCACCTGAGAAAGTAATTCTTTCCATTACTCATTACTCTGTGACACTGTCACATAATTACCCCTTAACAATATAACTCAATTCTCTATCCCAACAAAGATAGATATAATCTTTTTTTAAGTGTCTTGTATGAACACAAACCCAACAATGCAGACCAAATCTGAAAACCAACCCAAAGAGACTTTGAAGTGATGGCCACACTTTGAACTGCAGAAACATGAAACAAGCCTGACAGCTCTTGTTACCTACTGAAGATCAGGCTCTGGCTGCTGGGCTCGGGTCAGCATGAACTCAACTACATCACCAGCTTGGGTTCTTCGCTACCTTTGAGTTAGCATGCTGTCTGCGCAGATGCCTACAAAAAGTCCAAAATCTGTTTTCCGTCCTTGGCGCAGTTTAAACTTTTTGTGAAATGAAAATAAAACAATGTCTAAATCTACACTCCAGCTGATTACAGCCAAGTGCACATTCTGTTTACTGAGAATGCAGATAATTGAAGAACGTTTGTAATGTAAGTAATGGTGTAATTGTGACTGATGACTGAATTTACTACAGTAAGTCTTCTGAAGCACATAAGGTGCTTACAGTAATGCAGTACTCTGGAACACATTACACCAGCACTCCTAGACACAGCAACATTTCAGTGATATTAAAAATGTCTTTGAGATGTGAAAAACGTGATCAACTGTTCACATACATAAACAATGTTTCACCTCTTCAGTTAAACTGCTCAGTTTTACTGAGTTTTGCTCAGTGACTCAGGTTGTAGCAGACGCGCCCCACTCAGATAGGCGCCTGCTACACCCGTCCAACCCTGAAACCAACACCGAAACTAAAGCCGTGCACAACTGAGGATACAGACACAAGCAACACAGATTTTAACCATCGTAAATACGCACATCAAATCAAGCGCACACCGCATTAAGAACATTTTCACTGCTTTTTGACCTAAGTGAGAGCCCTTTCCAGCAAGAAAACTACTTGGACACAAATGCACTAGACTCTGCTCTCAAAACTGGTTTGTCACAAAACATGGAAGGTGCTTGTCTACCAGCCTCAGTTAATTAGTGTTAATATATAACTTGTTTTTAGTGAATTAGTTAAGACTGGGATCAACACGTTAAAACGGCAAAGCCAGTCAGAAATCAACAGCTTTTATATTTATTGTATTATTTCCACAAATCAAACTTTAGAAACTGCTGCCACACATACATTACTGA